TATTTTTTTATAATTTTTTTTTTCAACGTTTTTATTTATTTTTGGGACAGAGAGAGACAGAGCATGAATGGGCGAGGGGCAGAGAGAGAGGGAGACACAGAATCGGAAACAGGCTCCTGGCTCCGAGCCATCAGCCCAGAGCCCGACGCGGGGCTCGAACTCCCGGACCGCGAGATTGTGACCTGGCTGAAGTCGGACGCTTAACCGACTGCACCGCCCAGGCGCCCCTCGCCACGTGTTTTAAGATGAGGTTTGCTCTTACAGTGTTAGCACTTGTGGCCAAGAGGACAAAAATCATTCCAAGGGCTCAGTGACAATTGTATTTCATTTTGTCATCAAATCATGGGCTTGGAAACCTGTCTGTAGGACTTCACGGGGCAGAAGTGAAGCAAGGGAGCTGTAAAAGATGTTAGGACCCATCGGCCAATGGCTCGCCTTTCTGTGGTTGAAGACACCGAGGCTCAGAGTGGCTTGTCAGAGGCTACACGGCCAGCGACCTGCCCCACCCCCGCCCGCCCCCTTCCATGGCCAGCAGCTGTGTGCCCGGGGTGGGGGTGTTGGTGGTGTCAGCTTCCTTGAGTGTCCCCCAGAAGTTAATCACGGAGAGAAAGGGCAGGATGGATATTTTAGGCTGAACGTAAGATGCTGTAATGCACTTCTGAATCACGGGGCTGGGTGGGGAGCTGAGAGGGAGTTTCCTGCGAGCAGAATGCCAAGATCAATCGCTTAATTGAAAAAGAAAGAAAGTCTACCCTTGGAACCTTTGAATCAAAAGCTCAGGCTTCTCCTCAGTCAGATCTCAGCTCTGAATGACGAGACAAACAATGGAATTGCCCAAACAAATGGCAATCTGTCATGGCAGCAGCAATGACCAAAGTATCAAAGGGCCGCCATTGTTCGGGCTGGGTGGGCCAATCCTTGTGTTGGGAGGACATCAAGATCAAGGTGGTTACATATATTCCCTGGAACGACCCGCGTGGCCTCTCAGCCCGGCAGGTAGATGTTCTTGGGATAGAGCGGAGGCTGAGTGACCGGGGTGGAGACTCTCTCTCTAGCTGCTCCCATCATGGTAATAGGACCACGCATCTTACCAGAGTCCAGCAGCACAACTGGAGTGTGTCACAGTGAGCCAGAGTTTTGGGGAACAATTCCTTTCCAACCCGTAAATAAATGACTGATCACCGATGACTTAGCATTCGAGTGTGCATTTCACACAAAGATTGGAGGCGGCGCCTGGGGGGCTCAGTGGGCTAAGCATCTGACTCTTGGTTCCGGCTCAGGTCCTGATGGCACAGTTCGTGAGTTCGAGCCCCGCGTCGGGCTCTTCTGCGCCGACACTGCAGAACCTGCTTGGGATTCTGTCTCCCTCTCTCTGTGCCCCTCCCCTGCTCATGCTTTCTCTCTCCCTCTCTCTCTCTCTCTCTCTCAAAAAAAAAAAAAATAGATACATAAATAAAGTGTGCATTTCACACGAAGACTGGACAACAGTGGGGGACACCGGCTTGCACGGTGAGGAGTTGCGGTTTTCACAGTAGAGGGGCCGGGAGGCCATCCTATTGCCTCGCTCGTCCTGTGTCATTGTGGAAGCACCTGAACCTGGGGGTGGCCTCGGGGCCGAGAGAGCTCACCCGACAGTCTTCACAGCACAGCCCGTGTGCGCACACAGCGTCCGGCTTCAGGGTACAGGTGGTGGCATTGCAGCAGACGTTCGTACATTCCTGGGGAGGACAGTGGGACTCGTTTGACAGGGTCTCGTGGGGCAACTACTCATGGAAGGCCCGGGGCCATAAAGGGAAGGAGCTGAAGACCAGCCTGAGCTTATTTTCACATCTAGCAAAGCCAAGCTTCTGTGAAGCTTGCCAAGGTCTGTGAATCCCTGGGAAGAATCAACGGCACTCATTCCGTGCCTTTCACAGAGGGTAAGGGGAGCATGCATAGGAAGGCGGGCTGCCCGATCCAGTCAAGTGGGCTGTGGCTGGGGGTCTGTGGGGAGGCCTCTGATTCATGACTCATGCAGGTCTTATTGTAGTGAACGGTCTCAGGATCGCCAGAACACTCTGAACTCACTTTAAAAATCTACACAGGTGTGTACAAACTCAACTCTTCAAATACTGACCCTTTTAATCTGGAGCACGCCAGCAGGGAATGGGGTCCAATCAATCGTGGAACCACAGCTCCCCGCCCTCCAGCCCAATGCGGTAGCCAAGACTCTTGCTCGGCACAGGTGGCTGCCTCACCCGGACAAGGCACCTCTCAGGTCCGAAATGCACATCAGAATGACCAAGAGGCCGGAAAGGAGGTCTGTGGGATGTGCCCGTGGATTTGCAAGGGATTTCAACAGAGAGATCACATATTAGATGGACCGCTCTCTCTGAAAGGACGGAAAATGACCTCCTCTGTTAAGTTGTTCTTCACAAGTGCCCACGTTCTTCTAACAAAAGCCCTACAAGGGATTGGCACCTTTGCTCGGCTCTCCCCGAAAGGTCCATACATATTACCTACTGCATTTATGAAGTCCTTGTACTTTAGAACATCCCAATAACCTAGAGTTTACACATGTTAGAAGAAAATGAATTATCCGAAAGAAGAGTTCATGGGGTCATTAGTATTAACTCGTGTTAATTAATTAATTAATGTCCTTTTAGCATTAAGTAATGCCCTTTTATTTAGGATGTGACATGAGCAGAAGAAGATATATACCATTAGAGTGAAACCAATCATGTAGTATTTTAATAGTATAATATTTTACTCCTGAAAACCATGTTCTGGTATTGAAGTTATCATCAGTATTACAAACACAATGAATAAAATTTTGTGGATAATCCGGAAGATTTAGGACGATCCTGGATCTCTGAACTGTGTCCTGTGTGAGACTCTATGAATCATGCTCTCATTTGGTGTTTACGATTTGCTCCCATTATACATCCATCCAAAGTTATGAAATTTTAAATTTGCTCAAGGACCTTATAAACATCCGGAGCGTATAACATACACAGTAAGACGAAAGTGCCAACCAGAAGTCATAGCTGTAACTTTGATGACAGGAAGGGTTTCTAACTCATGGACTTATATAAGTTTAGGAACTTGCTTTGTTTTTAAAAGGAGTCCACTGATTGATTGCATTCCTGATCAGTACCGTCAAATACACAGCAGTGTTGTCCTGTTCACTGTGGTCTAAATGGCTCTACTAATGACCTATTAACCAAATGACACATTTCCTTGAGCGTCTCCGTTAAATCAGCCATCTGAAAACTAGGTCCTAAGATTCTTTAAGAACTACCTCCTCACCCCCGACCAAATCACTAAAAAATATAAGCAGCAGTTCAAATGGAAATGCAGCCAAGTAGAATGGCTTTGACTTCAAAGGGGCTTGATAATGTGAGAAAGATAACTAAGTTTAAAAGATATTTGCAGGCTACTGTCATTCTATTGACTTTAAACAAGGAGATAAGGCTGCTTTCCCAACCCCGTTAGCTGGATGAATGAGTGAGTTGTCAGGATATCCTTATGGTTGATGTAAATCCAATGCCCTGTACGGAAGGCTCCAGAAACCACTTGCCTTTTTAACTACCCAGAATCTATTCCTTCTGCAGGACTATACGTATCAGAAGAGACAAATTCTTCATCTGTTGATACATATATTATGTTAGTACTCAATAGGAAAGTTCAACAGAGCCAATGAACACTAGTTCTCCAAAGAAAAAAGAATAATGAAGCCGTTAGTGAACTCTCTGCAAAGGCCATGTCATTCTTGGGTTGTGGGTGGTAGATACAAATTCTTAATCACAGTGCACTGAGATTAAGTCTATAGTGCATCCTCCTGAAAACAGTGATTATTTCTGAGAGCAAGGGGGCAGAAGAGGAATCCAGTTATGAGCTGGGGAAGTTCTGGTCCCGTTCGCTCCCCGATGTGGTGACACATTGAGTCCCTCTGGGGGCCAGGGAACGCACGGGCTAACACGAAGCAAAGGCATGAAGACTATTTCCAGGGCCTGAGCGCTGGGCAGGGGCCTAAAGAGCGCAGGTGAATTAAGCCCGGGGCTGACTAAAAGTTTTGGTCAAAGCAGTTTGGAAACTGGATATGGGTTGTTATACTCTTGGACACAATTTGAAAAGCAAAAACTAAAAAACTACAAATTGAGGTAAGACGCTTGCCTAGAACTTTGAAAGATTGCTCAGACTTTGAAAGAAATGTCGATGGAAAGAATGAGAGTCGTCTCTTCGGATATCAAGAACTTATCCTGTGAAACAAGGACCCGACCACAGAAACATACAGTCGGGAACTATATGCAAGCAGAACATGGCTCTACCTAAGGAAGGAGTTTGACTGAATCAGTGCTGCCCTGCCATGACGTCCTGCCTGGAGAGATCGCAAGCACCCCGTCAAAGCTGAATGACTCCTCGATGGAGGCGAAGTTGAGGACCATAACATCAGTGGCTGGCAAATTTCAGGTCCTCAAACATTCGTTGACAGGATGGTGGTGGTGTTGGAATATGGAGCCAATGACTGCGGATGATCATTCTACACCTGAGAGTTCGTGACTCTAGGAAGAGCTGTCAAACTTATTCAGAGTAAATAAACAATTACAAGGAGTTCCAATCAAAGAGAAACCATTTTAAGTCCACATGGCCTCTCCTGAGAAATACGGGCAATTTATCCTAATTTTGTTTTTCTTCTGCAGGTAATTAACAAAGTCCCCAAGGACTCTCCCCGTTGTATCCCCCATCCCATGACAGTTTCAAGTTTTCCTCCACCAATCTTCAGAAGAGTTTCTGTAACCCTGTGCATGAGGACTGGCTCCCGTACAGCAATCACCCCCAACACACCGTGAGCAAAATTATCGCTGCCGTGGACAGTGCTGGTATCGCTGTTGAATCCCGGATTTGGAAAGGACGCACAAGCATTTGATGGGACCACCTCTACTAGCCCCATCCCCCAGTGCTTATTCACTCCTGAAGTTCTTGCAGAGCTGGCCAGACTGAGACCAAGATCGTTCCTGCTGGTATGGGAAAACGCAGAGCCTTGGGAATTACAAATATGAAGAAGGTTCTACAACCGGTTGCCTGTCTGATGAGCACAGGAATCTGACGGATATCCCAGGATCTCTGCACATTTCCTTCCACCCTAGACTCCCCTTTTCGGAGCAGCCCTCCAAAACATGCTCTTCCTAAGCCCTCACCAAGCCTGTCTGCGAATCTAGCCAAGCCCGCCTTGAACCCGTCTACCATTTCCGCTTGCATAAGCTCTCGGGGAGGGAATCCCACATGCAGACTGCTTGCTATACAAACTCCTTGCTTTGATTTATTCTAAACACTGCCTCCTCCAAGCTTCCAGCAGACACCTGTTTTACCAAGAGATCTCACTGTGTGCTCTCTTTCTCCTTCCTTCTCAAGATCATTCGGAGATTAAAAAGTGGCTGTTAAATAATTTTTTATGTTGCTGAAGTTTATCTTGGGCCCTACGGAAACAAGACATTTGCCTGACACTGGCTGGAAGACAGGGTTAAATAAGCCCTTTGCTGGATACAAATGTTCCCTGCTTCCGCTTACTGCTTCTGAAAGCTAACAAGCAAAGAGGCAGGAGACTGGAGCCTCGGGTTGTGCATACAGAGAAGGCTGCGGCATCAGGCAGTTTTTCTACTTGGGTGGGAGCTCTTGGTTAAAAACGAATGTTGCTTATTCAAATTCCCCTCTGGTTGCTCGCTTTGCAAAGAGAAAGAAATGATGCTTATTAGCCATTTGAAGCTAGCATTCCCCAAGCTTTCTTCTCTGTTAAACTCAAAGCTAAATGCTTTATTTATTGTTCTTGTCCTCAGCTGGCCTCACCTAGACCGTGTCCTTCAATAGAGAAGATTCTTTCTTTTTAAAACCAGTGATACAACTTATTCTGAGATTCAAGAGAAGGCCGCCCTGGCTTGCACAGCTGTTCAAGGCGGGGTGGGGTGGGGGCTCTTTAGGACTTTCCGGGGGGGGGGCCTGTTTAGGACTTTCCATCGTGAGTTTCTAGCACTTTCGTTCTGCTGCATAATTCTTCCAAGTCCCTACTCCTTTGCCAGCCACAGATGCAAGGCGGCGGTCCCAGGGGGTATCTCTTACCTCCGGCCCGCCACAGTCACACTCCTCTCCTTGCTCCACATATCCGTTCCCGCACTTCTGGCCCCCGAAAGACTGCTTCACTTCCGGCAGGTTGAAGAGGCACATTCCCATGCCTTTCTCCAGGCTGGCCTCTAGGTCCTCCTTGCTGCAGCTGCTGAACACCATGGGGAAAGGGAACCTGCGGAGAAGAGCTGAAACGGTCAGCCGTCGAGGCACAGAGTGGCTTCTTGAGCCTCTTCTCGTACAGAGATTCACGGGGCTCGCTGGCGAGCGCTGCCCACATGTCCACCCTTAGTCCCAGTGAACCGAGGCTTAGTTGCCCGGCATAAAACGAGGTGCACTCGGCTACATCCTGAGATCTATCCCCATACAGTGCCCACGCTACCAAGGAAGAAGTGCTCTACCAAAAAACAAATCCTCTTCTGACCATTTTCAAATCGACAAATTTGTACAGCATCTCATGATGGACAATCATGAACAGTTCCACACGAAACGATACAACAACAGCAACAAAAAACGAGTCCTTGGGACCTGCAGCTTGTAATACGAATGCACACTGGTGTCCTCATTGGAAAGCACAAGGAAGAGACAGGTACAAATGACTGTGCGTATCACTTCCTCGGTTCCATGGACACAACCCCACTGTAGGTGAGGGCTGGCTGAGGCTGGCATTCGGGTCTACGAAGGGCAGATCACTGCCTCTGAAAGCAGAGCTGTAAGAAAATGCAGGGGACTGGAAGTGTGGGCCCTGCTCTTGCCTCAAAACACCAGGGCTACAGTGGATGTGGCAAAGTTGGCCAACCTTCCCGGCATAGTTCATGTTCCGCCTTCCATGGTCCAGAGGGGCTGCCCCACCCCCTTGCTCCAGGATGGGCTAGAGGACTAATTCTCGGCAATGGAACGTGAACAGAGGTGAAGTGATGCGGAATGCTTCCAGTTGAAGGTAAGGGGACTGTGGCTCTTCAGGTCCTTTCGTTCCCCTCGGTCAGCTGAGCTCAGGGTATTGCAATGTCCTAGGAGGCGGCGTCTGGTCCTGACTCCCTGCTGGGAGGGAAGCCACTGGCAGCTTAGAGCCTCGGAGTGTCATCTGGGTGGGAAACCCACCTCTATTATGATAAGCCACTGAAAATTAGGGGCTTGTTTCCTATAGCAGTTAGTGTTACCCAACACACATAGAGTAGCTCACTCTTTATTCAGATGCATTTTCTCTTATCTTGAGGCAGCGATGGTTATGAGGGGCAAGGACGCCAGAAACTCAGAAGGTTCGGCTATTTAGTGAGGAAGTAGGGCCTGTTGACCGGCAAGCCCGAACACCCTCTTTCCATGTGGACGTTTATGGGGTGACATTATGACCGGATTCTAATCAACTGGCCAAGCCAATGCAAGCTGGATGTATCCCTAAAGATGTCAGACCAGCCACGATTCAATATAATTTGGCAAATTTTGAGATCAGGATCATTTCCTGCTAATAAACTGGTAAAACTGTCTTATCCCCCCCTAATGTGTTTTATCCATCTCGGGTGATTAACTCTGGAGTAGAATTCGAATCTACAAATAAATGAATAAGCCCATGTCTTGCACTGGATGGAGAGGTAATAATAATAAAGCAAGGCTTACTTCTAGTGCTGTCACAAAGTTCCTTTCGAAATCTTTAGAACCTCCCTTGGCAGACAGATTACTCTTGATATCAAAATGATGCCAAATAGCTTCAAGTGATGATCACCTGAAAATTCTAATTTTATCCATTTAGAAGTGCTTTGTGTTGACAAGACAACGGTATGTTGTGCAGGGAATCGAGAGCTGTTCCCTTTGCAACGGAATACGTTTCATCAAGGCAAAGGATCAGACCTCCTTCTGTGTTGACAGTCCTAGGACACTTACGTAGCTCAGGGCCTGATCCAGACACTAAACCTTGTTCTCATGTGCTATGCAGCCAGGTGTTGTGATGAACTCTTATCAGTGCATTCTGGAAAGGAACAGATTTCTAGAATGTTTTCACAGTTAACTAGAAAAGACAGTAGGGTCACTGGTGAAGCTCAGGAAGGGTTGAGAGCAAGAACAACACTAGTTGAGAGAAGATCAGCGAACCACCCTTTTTTCACAAATGGGTGGAGAACGTCCACCAGTGTTCGGAGGCTAAAGGCTTAGGGGCCGAGGCCAGCCCCAGACCCTCCCATCTCACTGTCTTGCAAAATGTCAAATGCATATTGGGCTTTGGAGAGATGAGACTAAAGAAGAGGGATAGACAGTAAGAAGATGGATGGGATTAGTTTAAGTCCAGGACTTAAACTTCAGAACGTTTGGGAGAGGAGAACAGATCCTTGTTGGCACAAATGCGTTCGTGTGTCTGCTAGATGCTCTCAGAAGTAGAGTTACCTGCATGATGGTAAGTTTCTATTTCTCTTAGAAATGGTGGGGGGTGGGCAGTGAACAAAGCATTGAAAAATCCTGATTATCATGGAGCTTCCATTCCAGCCGGGCAGGTGGGTAATGCATAAGGTAAGGGGGCCAATGAAGTGTGCTAGAAAGGGATGTTAAAGAGAAAAATTAAACAGGCAAGGAGGAAAGGACGTGTGTGGGAAGAACTGAACTTTTAGGAAGGGTGGTAGAGAAAGACATCACTGGGTGTGTATGGGGGTAGCATTTGAAGCTCTCATCTGAAGGAGGTGAGGGACCACACTGTGGGTGCATCTGGAGGAGGAACATTCCAGGCAGAGGGAAGAGCTGCTTCAAAGATAGATGGAGAGATAGGACTGGTCTAGAGAAATGTGCTAAATAGAAGACCTCTCGGCCACCCAAATTCATGCTGATGCTAAGCAGACTACCAAGGAGTATCATTAAATGGCGGGGGAGCTTTGCTCTGCACGGACCAGACTGATAATGGCTGAAGGTATTTTTCATAAGAACTCTAAACTCTTACTATTTCCCCCCTTTTCAGGAAACTATTTTTGAATGACAAGCAAAGGTATGCTCATCATCTCCCTTCTGCTGAGGTCCTGTCAGTTGTAAGAATGAGAATATTTAAAAATTATATCTAGGGGCGCCTGGGTGACTCAGTCCCAAGGTTGGGCGTCCGGCTTCGGCTCAGGTCACGATCTCCCAGTTGGTGGGTTCAAGCCTCGCGTTGGGCTCTGTGCTGACAGCTCAGAGCCTGGAGCCTCCTTCAGATTGTGTCTCCCTCGCTCTCTGCCCTTCCCGCACTCGTACTCTGTGTCTCTCAAAAATAAATAAACATGAAAAATTTTTAAAAAATCATATCTAACCCAATGGCCCTTCCTCCAATAAACAGAATTTAGTGATGGTAAAGGATTTTAAATCTCAAAAGGGAATTTGATGGCACCAAATATTAGACTCTCCTAATTACAATACAATCCTGATCTATACATATTTGAAAATGTTTGACGTCCCAAGAACCACTGGTTGCCTAGCGAACCACTGATGTCTTGCTTTAAGAGCCAAAGAACAGTTCGTTCACTGGCATAAAAAATATGCCAGTGAACCATGAACAACGTACGGAGTCTACTCCCCAGGACAGCATCAAGAATCCATGGGTGGGATCGATCAGCACGGCGATTATTAAGATTGCTGTTTCCTCAGTGGAGTCACACGTAAAAAAGGGTCACCAGAAAGTGAGTGTCACCCTCCTTTCTAACTTTGAAGGAGGTGAGGATGACAGAATTAAACCTTTTGTGTAGTGTCGTCACTACTCTTTCACTTGTCACCCATCTACTTACTTAGGCAAGAAGCAACTTTCAAGCGTCTATTACATTCGAAGCTCTGAGGAGGATCCCAAGATGATTCAAATATGTCTTCCCACTGTTGCCTCATCCGACCTTTGCCCAAGGAACTACCAGACACGCCCATGCCCCACACTGCCTCTCCACCCATAGAAATAAAATATGGACACGTGTTTACGTATGCATAAAATATACCATGCATACTCATCCATATAAATAATGTAGAAATTATATAAAAATATAAATGATATTTAATTATAACGTATATATTTAGTTGACATGGATACGTATTTAAAAAATAACTATGTATTGAGAACTAGTTAGGTGGTATGGTGGGTGCTTTCTCACAGTACTATTTTTTTTAATGCTTTTTTGCTTTTAAATTTCAATGTATGCAATGGAATATTACTCGGCGATGAAAAAGAATGAAATCTTGCCATTTGCAACAACGTGGATGGAACTAGAGGGTCTTACGCTAGTTGATTTAAGTCAGTCTGAGAAAGATAAATACCATATGATTTGTGGAATTTGAGAAACTCAACAGATGAACATAGGGGAAGGGAAGGAAAAAGAAGATAGAAACAGAGGGAGTCAAACCATAAGAGACTCTTAAATACAGAGAATAAACTGAAGGCTGCTGGGGGCGGTGAAGGGGGATGGGTTAAATGGGTGATGGGCATGAGGGAGGGCACTTTTCAGGATGAGCACTTGGTGTCATACACAAGAGATGACACCCTGGGTTCCACTCCTGAAGCCAAGACTACACTGTATGTTAACGAACTTGAATTTAAATTAAAAAAAAGTTCAAAGCAGTCTAGAGAGACAGGTATCGCTACGCTCATTGTGCAAACAAGATGAAGGATTGGATTGAGGGTGTACAGTTATGGGATGGCAGATGCTAGATTTGATTCCAAGTTCAGTCATTTAAAAACCCCATTTTCGTCATTACTGATGTCAGTTCAGCGCGGCACTACCTGTAGTGAATGGCCAGAACGTGGGCAGTGATCAAGAAACCCTTGATGCACGGATGTAAACACGGAGGACAAATCCCCCCACCCAACAGATGCCTGGATGAGTGATCCTCCGAGTGTGGCCCCTGCATTAGCATCACTTTGCAACTTACCAGAAATGCAAATGCCCAGGCCCCACCCAGACCTACTGAGTCAGAAAACCTCAGGGGTAGGGCCCAGTAATCTGTGTTTTCACAAGCCCTCCAGGTGACTTTTTACACCAAACTCCACACCCGAAAAACAAATGATCCAGGGAAGATATGGGCAGAAAACACGAATAGACGCTTCTCTAAAGAAGACATCCAGATGGCCAACAGGCACATGAAAAGATGTTCAACGTCGCTCTTCATCAGGGAAATACAAATCAAAACCACACTTAGATACCACCTCACGCCGGTCAGAGTGGCTAAAATGAACAAATCAGGAGACTA